ACGATGCCACCACCATTAGATCCTCACGAAGACTTTGACCAAGAACCAATCCAACAGCCGTGAGTTGTTTTCATATTGTGAAGGAGGAGTCTGAGAGATGAAACGAGGCGTTTCATTAAAACGCAGCAATGGGCCTAGTGAGAAACTTGATATCCACACCCCTTGTCCAAGGCCCACTGAGAAATGCACTACATTTGCTTGCTATTCTCACCGCATTTTTTTCATTTTTCCTTATGTTTTCCATTTAATTTCTGAATAATGTTTGGGCCTAGCGCGCTTTTCTATCCATACCCCCTTCTGAGCCCATATCTGGATCTGAACTTGTTTTAATTACTATTTGACACGCATGTTTTCCATTTTTCATCATATTTCTTTTATTTTACACATTTATTTTAGGATCTTTGAAAATTCATAATAAATGCAAAAATAGGTCTTTTTATATGGGAGTTTTTTATCCATTCTCATAAGTGTCTCAAGAAAATTATAGAAAAATAAAATTAGCATTTTAGTCATTTTTCTATTTCTGGTGAATTTTTACATTTAGTTGCTTTTATTGCATTTTATTTTGTATATCCATTTTGCTGAATTTTGTTTAGCCATTTTATTTTACATTTTGATGTAATTCCTTTTGTTTTAGTTAGATTAGAGCATTAGGTCCCCCTTGGAATTATTTCACATTTTTGTGATTTAATTTTAATTAGTTTTGAATGAGGAACATTAGGTTGACTAGAATTAGGGTTAAACTTGACATAGGTGCATCATAACACATAGTTTTGGGGTTTCTAGTTTGATTTAGGCCTTGGAATTTATGTGGGGTTTAGGGTACATAGCTAGGGTCCTTTAGAAATTAATATAGGATTTTATGTTGAATATTTCCATTTTATTTGATCTTTGCAAGTTGGTTGATATTGGTGTGTTCCCTCTTGGGATATTGTGTTGTTTGATGGGTTTTGGGCCTTTTCTTTGGGTGTTGGGGCTTGTGCTTGGTTTGAGGATTGTATGAAGACTTTGAGGATGATTGAAGACAAATAATGATGCTTGGATCTTAAGTTGCTTGTGCTTGAAGATTGCTTGATGAAGGCTTAGGAGATAGGAGATATAGGGAGAGCTCTAGAATAGACTGATTTCTTCTGTCAACATAGAGAGCTTCTAGTGCCTCTATTCCATCCTATGACACAAGGTCCCCTAAAAGAGTTCCATCTCTCCTTAGGAGGGATGTAGAGCATGCTTTGATTGGGTAGAACCTTGAGGATAACTTTCACTTGCTGTGTTAAGACCTTAGTGATTTCCCTGGGTTATCATTAAACATCTTAACATTCCAACCTCATTTGTTAGTTGATTCTCTCCTGTGAGTGTCTGCATTGAAGTTGAAGCTAAGAAGTGCATTAAATACTGGTGAAGATGAAGCTTGTGCCTGTCAAAGCTGGTTAATTGTGAAATTAGGGTTATATTGCTGTTTGAAGATGTCTACTGTTTGGATTCAGTGCTTGCTAAAGATGAAGATCATGGGAGACAAGAGCTTACCTAAAGTTTGAATATCATTGGAGAGTGAAGATGGGATCTTGCCTAAAGTTGTTACTGTCAACCTTTTGTTGTTTATCAACTGTAGCTGCCAGAGCTAGTGCTGTTTGAATCTACTGCTGTAGGAGCTATTGTGGTTGTCTGAGCTGGTGTTGGGTGTGTTTTTCTTTGCTGTATTATCTGTTGTTTTTCCCTTAGGTTTGAGGTGAAGCTGTTTCACTTTGCCTATTGTTTTGCCGCATCTCATGCATTTTACTATTTACTGTATATATGCTGTTTCTTTTTCGTTTATCCCATAGGATCTCTGATTTCCTCTACGCAGGAGGGAATTATGACAGACATTAGGTTGTAATCCATGCATGATAACATTAGGGTAGTTTTGATTCCCCTTTCTAACCCTAGGGTTTTTAGACTTCTTTTTCTTCTGTCTCAGAACAATTCAAAACACAGTAATAAGGATAATCGATGCCGTACGCTACGAGCCTTAAGCTATTTGAGAAAGGTTGTTGAAGGGTCACTTTTCAGTAATCTGATTACTTAGTGTGTTACCCTTAGGGTGACATACGACGTAGTCACCCTTAAATCATAGTCTCTAGTGCGTCAGAGATTGCAAACATCATAAAAGACAGTTCTTGCGTAAAAGACTGAAAACAAAACATCAACATGTCATTTTTGTCCGCTTGGACCTTTAATCAGGAAAACCCTTTCATAAGGAGATAAAAAAACATTCAGACAAGCTTGTGTCTTCCGTAGCCCGAACTACGTTTGCTCTGATCTTTCATGTTGTATGAAAGTACGTAGGCATAGGATGCGATATCCTAACGAGCAACCTTCCCCTCCTTTCCCGTAGGTAGGCGAACTACGTTGACTCTGATTTCTCGTTCCAGACGGGAATACGTAGGCATAAAGTGCGATACTTTGCCGAGTCATTTTCTTTTCTTTTTAACCCAGACCTGTAGAGTAGATAGAATAACAATCCGTACTAGAAAACAAGCGTGGATCCCGTCGAGTACGACGGACGTGAGGGGTGCTAATACCTTCCCCTTGCGTAACCGACTCCCGAATCCAGGATTTGGTTGCGATGACCATTCCTTTCCCGTCTTTGCGGTAGGTTTACTTCGAGCGTTTCCTTTCCCTCCGTTGGGATAAATAACGCACGGTGGCGACTCTTCTGTTCAGTCGGCGCCGATTTTCGCAGTAGCGACAACTAGATGAAGAATACAACGAAGACAACATCTATTTAAAAAAAACAACAACCTCAACAACAATAACAAACTCTTTCATCTATTATCACATACACATTCAACAACAACAACAACCACAACCACAACAAAAGATTAATCAAGTTTTATCACAGACATTCAACAACAACCAGAAAAACAACAAGAACAACAACATCAACAACAATAGAAGCTGAAATTTACTGTAGATGCATTAGAAAAAAGCTTTACGTATCACAAACGTGATGACTAAGTAAAGGTGAATATTTGGGTTGAAACAAATAGTGTTGTTGTTGTATTCCTCCTTGACGATGACGATGATGTTAGTGTTGGCGTTGGTGTTGGTGTTAGGGTAGAAAATAAACTGATGACTACGTCTTGAAAATGAACAACGAATGAAAAATAATAAACTGATGAAAAAAGAAGAGTCGTTGAACAACTGATGAAAAACGATGAACGATGAATGTTATGGTTGATATGGTGTTTTGTTTCTCAGTAGTGAATTTTAAGGTTGAAATGGTGTTTTGTATCATATTGTTTCTGAACAAAAAATGGTTACTGAAAAGACAAGTTAGTTAGTTGTGATAAAAATGAATGAATTATACCACCATGGTCAACAAACGGAACCATGGTGATATATTACTTGCTTAATTAAATTTCATAAAGAAGCGTCAATATATTACAATTTAAAATATTTAAAACAAAATAAAAAATATGTCACAACGGTTTAGCTATGCAAACGTGATGGTATCACATTTATTTAAATATTAAAAATAAATAAAAATAAAAAGGTGCGACTAAATGTTAAAGAAATAAAACATTTGAAGTGTCCGTACATTACAATTAAAAATATTTAAAACAAGTCATAACGGTTGAGTTACTCAACAATGGTGGTATCAAATCTATTTTGAAATTAAAAATAAATAAAAATATAAAGACGTGATTAAATGTTAAAGAAATAAAATATTTGAGAGTGCTGAGATTCGAACCCATGAAAGAGTGATTATATAACCAGAGTTGTATCTTTCATCTTTAATTATATTAAATAAATAAAAATGTTCCCGCGTTAAGTAAAAGATGTCATCACGGTGCTTCGTGATACCGTGATAACCATGACGTTGTTATATGTTCACTTTGAAGTAGTGAAATATCTAACCGGAGATATTTATCCCTTAATGATCAATGAATAATAATTAGGCTCATGTGAATTTACTAGTTACTCTATTTCTTCCAACGAACACATAATAAAACATTTAGAAACTCAACTTTTTTTCACTGACAAGGTATAAAATATTTAAGAGGATAGGATAGATTACATAAAAGTTTCCACGCAGAGAAAAAACAAAGGTACATCCCTACTAATAGATCCGGTTACTTAAACAGAAGAGACTCTCAATGACATTGGAGAAAATCACAAGGTAGGTCAAGAGAAACAACATTAAGGTTTACTCTAATAAAACTGCTGCAAAATTCACCCAAAATCTAAGACTAGCTTAAAGATTCGAAAAACGTCCTTAATCGACCATAAGTTTTCAAAGGAGGCATCTGGCAGAATAATCGTGTTGTACGAAGAGTTTGTAGTTTTAATTTTGTAAAAATTACAAATTAAATAAGAAAATATTTTTGTTGAGATATTGTAGATGTTAATATGAAAATATGGAACCACCATAAATAAATCGATAAATTGTATTTTTATTTATTTTATTCCCTTTATAGGAATCTTTCTTTCTACTTGGATATATAGTTTTTTTATTCTTCTGCTTTCCCAACCATTCTTTTTTCATGTTACACTCTATTTTTTCTTTTTATTCTTATAAAGTATAATCATAGCTTTCCAATTAAATTGGTCTTTGTTGTGAAATATTGAACGTCCAATGTTTACTAATTGCCATCCAGCAATTTGTCAAGTTCCATGCATCTTCGAGGAGAAAAAGTACACTTTATAATGAAAATGATCAAAAAGCAGAAAAAATCAACAAACTCAAAGCACCAAATGTGGCTGCTATCATATCAGAACATAAAGCTTTTCCGCAGCCAATATATAATATAACAGCTAGCGTAACTCATGCTACACTATAGAACACTCAACAACAAAAGCAATGAAGAAATTGAAATAAGGTAAGAATATGAAAAAGATTCTCACCTCAATTTTACAAATTGTCAAATAAGGTTGGCAACTATTTACTCAACTAAGTAATAATAAACCAAGTGAATTACAGCCTAGTATCATGTTATAGTCCCAACTATTCTAATTTACAATTATGTTTTAATCATTTCTGCACTGCGTTTTTGGGCTTTGTCAGGTGACTCTGTACATAAATCTTGGATCACGATTGCAACATGCGGCGCGTTATCAATGTCCGCAACAGGTTTTATGATTCCTCTATGAAGTAGTGGAGGTTTTTCTGGTGAAACATTGGTTTCTACATTCTTGAAGTGTGCTAAATGAGAAAGCTCAGAAACCGAATCATAGATTTTTTCCACTGAAATAGTGATTTCTTCAAGTATTGCAGCAACTGTGGCAACTGGTATTATAGCTAAGAGCTCCACATCCTCTAAGGAAATGGCATCTAGTACAACTTTGAGTTCTTCTATTGCGATTTTTGAATTTTCTATGTGGCTTTTAGCGGATGATGGGTGTGTCATTGTTTTCATTGATGATGATATTGCTTTCAATGCTTTGTTGGATTCCGAACTCATCTTTGTGCATGCTTCTTGGATTGAACACTTGAATTCCAAACAAGTCTGCAGTAACCAAATTGTATATATTAGCTTCAAAATGGTCTTCATAAAATAGACATGCATGCAAGTTAATTTTTTTACTTTTATATTATATAGAAAAGCAATAATATTGATTTATTACTTGAATTTCAGGGTTAAGATATGTGTTTAGGGTTTCAATCTTGTATGCGCATTCGCGAGCAAGTACTCCGATTTTCAAGTATTGCATCCAAGGATGACGAAGACTAAAACCGCCGTGACCTGGTTCCCACCTTGCAAAATTTGCCTGAAGATTATATGAAAATTATAAGTTCATTCCAAAACATGAAAAATGTTACTATACAAAAGAAAATTATTAAAATACCTACCAATGATTCTTCAGTTGCTTTGGAATTAAGAACACTTTTATATCCTACTAGAAGTGACTTAGATTTTTCTTTATCCTCAAATGAGTGAAAATATTCACCTTCAAACCCTGAAAATAAAAATAAATAGTTTAAGATTCAAATTGACTTTACTCGGTAAACATTACTCAGTTAGATGAAGATCAGACGATCTATGTTCTAACTTTTTAAATCATAACTGTCGTATCTTCAACATACAACCGAGATTACAACTACATAATAAATATGTATTATATTATATATATACCTTCAAGATAGTTTGCTAGTTTTTCTATGTTGGAAGCAACCAAGTTATGAAGGTCTTGACCAGCCCAAACAGGACAAACAAATATGGAGATGATCATGCAAGCTGCAGCTCCAATAATAATAGTTGAAAGTCTCTGATGTGCAAGCTCAACAAGTTCCTCCACTCTATACCCCGAGACGGTAACCAAACAGAATGTCAATATAAATATCACCATTCCATAGTCATATCTTGCCTTTATCTTTGGAACAAATCTTAAAAATGTTGCCACTGCAGCTGCAAGCACAAAACATCTCACTAATTAGCTTCAAATATATATAACCTTCCTTTCCTTAACTTTTTTTATAGTACAATTACAGTTACCTAGAATGAAGACAAGGGTTCCAAGGACAATAGCTTCTCCTCTTTCTCCAACAGCAGTGGCTAATTGATGCCCTCCAACACCTAAAGCACCAGCAAATAATGTAGCACATCCCCTATTCAAACTTTTGCTAAGGGTTGCACCTGATTCATTAGGAACAAAACTTTTATAAGTATCTATTCCGTCTAGACTTAAATACGAACAAAAAATATACATCTAATAGTACATGCATCTAAGTATCTGGTCCTCGTTTGAACCAGATACTTTAATTTAAATTCGGATTATATCTTATATAAGTATGATATTTAGATATTGAACTCACCAACGGTAAATTCAAAAACTACAACGACAGTAAGAACTGCCCAGATTCCAGCATCTCCAAAGCCATTATAAAGAGGCCTTGAATAGTAAAACAATGACACAACTGTAAGAGCAACTCCAACTTTCAATGAGTGGATTACTCTTCTAGGGTCATCTTTTCCTATCTTTTTCACACTTTTTATTGCACTCATAAACTTAGACTTAAACTTCATAGGCAAATCCTTGAAGAAACCACCTATGCTAGATAAGAATCCAGCTTTCTTTACTTGATTTGTTGACTCAATATCCATGACAAGATATAGAGATACTTAAGTTTCAAAATGGAACAAAATGACAAAATATGAAATGGAGCAAATAAGGTTGAAACTTGAAAGACTTGAGGTTGAAATGAGTTTGAAGAGTTATATTTATAGGAGTAGAAATGAAAGCATATACTTGTTTCAAGCAGCCTAGTTATTATTTTAATTAATCAGATACATGAATTGCTGTCTTTTGTTGAAAGTGAGAGACTAATTTTGTTTGAGAAAGTAGTTTGGTCACAGAAAATATATTATGATTAAACACGCATGCCCATGACTAAAAGTACTATACTTTTAGAAATTGGTTTTAAAATAACATGTACCAAAACATGCATAGACATGGAATGTTAGGAGATATACCTCGAGCTAGGAATTGTTTAGTTCTTAAAACAGATTAAACACAATTAATTTACTAGAGTTCCTGAATAAGTAAAGATAAAATATGGTAGTAATTTATTAGAGGAAGTAACTGACACATAGACTTTAGTCACTGTCATCCTTAATCATCGCTGTATCCCACCTCCTTAATTTTATTTTGCTTTTTTCGTTTTTCATTTTTAAATGATTGGCAATATTTTGTTTTTTCACCTCCAATATTCGATTCACTAAATTGATTTATTCGATTCAGAGGTCACTTATGATATTAAGTGGTTCTAACACTTTTCTAATCACAGTTGCGTGAGATCGGTTCAATCTATCAAAAGAAAATAAGTATAAAAAAAAGGCAATTCTAATTTATGTTTTACAAAATCATCCTTAATTCTTTAAAGAAATGAAATCAAAAAGTATGAGATAGTTGTGCACCCTATATTAGCGAGGAAGTCAGCACACGAGTATCATTCTCCATAAAAGTGTGATATGAAAAAGACATGATAGCCAATATGTTTTTACAAAAATGCCAACGGTTTCTCAGTTGTCAAGGCACTAAGGAGTCCTTTGAAAAAACTTGGATGACCACAAGAAATTTTGTCTGCTTTGATCATACATTATCTCTAACAATTTTAATTTCCTTGAACATCACAGAGAATTCTACATGTAAGGATAAACGTTAAGAAACTAAGTTCGTAAAAGGCAAGGAGGAAGTCGTCATTGTTGTTTTGGAAAATACTATCACAACTATCCAATGAATGTGTGACACGTGAGCTATAAAAAGCAAGAGAAAGTGAATTAATTTTGTCGTTTGTTATTTATTAAATCGCTCTTTTGTTAACAATTTTTTTTTTTATGATTTAGAACATTGTTGGCAAAGCATTCAATTATTTAGTATTACATAGATAGGAGATTTCCAAATACTTATGCAACACCACACAATCTAAATTTTGATTTTCAACTCAAGAAATTCACCAACATCAACAAAGAATGAATCTACTCTACAATAAATCTCACATTCTCTAAGAATTAAGAAGCAATTGATGGTAATCTTGTTAGAGGTTGAAGATGAATTCGGATGCAAAAGATAGATGTGAAAAGGTGTTCTTTGAAAGTGGATTTCTAAGTTTTTGGAAAGACTTTCAAAGATATGATTATCATCACAATAATCATTTTTCTTGTTAATAATTATGAGGGAGAGAGAAAAAATGATTTATATAGGTGTTGGAGATGAAAAAATCATGTTTGATTTGAGTCAAAAGCATTTGGTGATTTGAGTCAAGTGACAAAATAATTTGAAATAAGATGAACACTTAAAGAGAGACCCTTTTTTTTTATTCGAGTCAAGACTAAGTCATGATTTGACTCACTGTTCGAATCGTACTATAGGTGAGCTTTTGTTATCGTCTTCACAGGAGTTGTCTGATATCTTGATGCTTGCCTTTCAATAGTTTACAGTTCTAAAAAAAGGGTGTTTCAAATTTTGGTTCATAAATTGTCACAGTTTTTAGTATCAAAACTTATAAATTCTAAAGTGTTTTATTAACAAAGTATATCAAAAGTAGTTTTCATCTACTCTAACTTATATGTATCCTTTCAATCTTGCATGTGAAGTCAGATTCGATTAATATCATCGTGTATTCTCTCAACACCGTCTATCTCTAAAGCGGCGTCGTGAGAAATATTGTATTCATCGCTATACGATCTATCCATATAAATAAGTTTTAAGTTTAATACAAAGTAAATATCAACCATAAACTGATATCTCCAATCTATAAATCGATAGATGAATATTTTAGGTCAAGTTCCATAAAATCTATCATTTCTTCCATTCTAGAGGTCCACCATTATGGGTCATCACTTGGACAAGCGATTCCAGTGTATCAGCAAGAGCACGATCATTTCTTTTAGCCATCTGCATCCAACAACAGGGTCAGAAGAAAACAACTCATCAAATAGTATTCTCAAACTATTGACTGATAGGGGACTAATAACATAAAAACATGGTTGGACGGACCGACCTGCTCTGATACCACTAATGTAACACCCTTTTCTACCCCACAAATATAATGGCAAATCAATCACATTTATAAGAGTAAAATATTAAACTCATTAGGTGCATCATCATTCATCAAAATCGTCATAATAATCATGTCATCATAAATCACCAAAACCTCATGAAATCAACATCATAAATCATCACAATTACTCATGGGGATTCATCACACAATCATGTATTATTCTCATAAAATTCACAATTATATCACAGTAATTCATCAGGAAAATCACAGCATTAAAACATCAAGACAACATTGAACAAGAAACAGTTCGTGAAATGCTGCTACTTTCGTTGCGATGGTCGCTTTGCGAATCTGGGGCGAATGTTTGCTCTGTAAAGAATTGTTCGCTTTGCGAACTCGCGATTGCAGCAAATCGCTGTTATGCAACAATAGCAAAATCAGACCAAAAGTCTATACGAATTCCTTCCCCCACGCCCAAAAACATCCCCAAATCATTCCTAAGGTGTTACAGCGACAAAGGCACAAAATCTACGACTTATTAGGGCAATCCCGTATCCTATTTAACAACACCAATTCACATAAATTCTTACAAATACCCCAAGGTCATCATAGTTCTCATAATCACTTACCCTATAGGATTAAACAACCTCAAAAACAGATTTGGACACAAAGGCCTAATTTCCTCAAACTCAAAACCTCTTATATCCTTAAATCGGCTTAAAATTCATTGAATCATATATTGAAAACAATGAGATAATACTCCCCATACTTAAACAACCACTAATGCAGAAATGACTTTTTACATCGGGCGAAAATGACATTTTACATCGGGTCTGGGTCCGATGTAAAGTCAGGCGATGTAGTAAATCAAAGACATTTTATATCGAATTTTGATCTGATGTAAGAAATACACCAAGCACATCAGTTAAATTTTTAAGTCTGATGTGAAAAAAATATAATTGTAAATTTTAATTATAAAAGGGTGTTTTTACATCGGTTGTAAGACAAAACCGATGTAAAAGGTAGAGTTTTTACATCGGTTGTGTGGTTAACCAGATGTAAAAAGTACTGTAGTAAACAAAATAAAAATGTCAAACATGCGCCTGGTGACATTTATTACATCGGTTCTCTTGTTTGACCGATTTGAAAAGTCCTAGGTGACACTTTTAACATCGGTTCTGTGGTTAACCCGATATGAAAGGTGGTTTTTTACATTGGTTATTTCGTTCGCCCGATGTAAAATGTACTGTTACGAGTATAAATTATTTGTCTATTTTTTAGCCGTTCTGTGTAACTTTTTTGGTACCTAATTTTTCGTATTTTTCCAACATCACACAGACCATAATTAGGTCGTTATTTTCCATAGTTTCCCAACATCATATAGATCACATTCCGGTCGCTATTTTCATAGTTTTCCAACATCACATAGACCATATTTAAGTCGTTATTTTCATATTTTTCTCACAAATCTAATTTCATTGCACCAAATATCTAGTATACACATAATTGATTTGCAAAAGTACTGATATAGGATATACACAAATGTATTAAATTATAAGGAGGTTTACACGATGGACCACTACAACAACAAAAAGCTTAACCTTTATATAACTAAAAGAAACATGTTGCCCAACGGAGTCGCAAATCATCTTTTGTTAAGTTCGTTGGATCATCAAATACCTACAACACGTAAATAACAATAGAGTTATTCTTTGAAAATTCACATTAAGTTGCAAAACGTAAAGTAAGTAACAAATTAAAGTCATTTTTATTACCTTCTTTCACAAATTGGTTATATTGGCAGAGACAATATCCAACATATTTTTCATCACATAATACCCACAATCATTAGAGTTAGGTTGTTTCCTTATCTACAAATGAATGACATAATTAGTGAATACTTATATGATAAAATTAAATATATAATTATAATTTACACCACGCTTACCTTGGGTTGAAGTCATGTAGCCTTTTTTCTATTCCCATTTGCCGCTTGATGAACCCCTAAAGCACTAATTCAGAAGAAAAAAATTCATATAAAGCCACATAACATATGATATTACTTTTGTAACAAATTATGTATATAGGATGAAGTGAACATAAAAGATAAACTTACCTTGTAACAATTTTTGTCATGGTTTGATTAAGTTCATGATGAAGTGAACAAAAGACGACCACCGTATTATCATTTGAATACATGACTATTAATTGCCAATGACCTTTGTACGTGTGTGTGGAAACACAAAAGTCACAATTTCATGTTACCAAAATTGAACTATATATGTTACCAAAATTAAAAAATAGAAAACATAATTTCATACAAACTTACCCATGAATAAATGGTAGCAAATGACACTCTCTCTTTTCGTCACATAACTTATCTTGTATGTATTATTTGACACTTGCTTGAGTTTTTGGCACATGATAAACGTACAAACACATAGCAGGGTCCATAAATGCGTATACTTTAGATTGTGAAGTATCAATACACAAACGATTAATATACCTAAAAAATATTTAAATCAACATTATAATAAAAGTGATGAGAGATATAACATAGTAATAGATATTGACACTAATAAAAATATAAAATGAACTTAC